TACAAATAGATTTGTATTCCAAGTCCCAATGCAAGCCCCCACACCCAGCAGAGTTGACTGTTGACTTCTATGAAGTGGCTTCATTCTCCTTGTGTGGGATTCAAAAATGGACCCAATTGTTTTGCTGATGTTGTTTATGGTTCTCCCCCCAAACCCTTGGCCACTTTTGAAGTATTGGGATTATTTTTTTAAATGGCTAAAGGAAAAAAGGGGACAAAAAGAAATAAGGGGGGGGGGGACACGGATAAGTGAAAAATATCAAAAAGTGATTAAAAACAATTAAGTGCATGAAAGTACTCAAAAAAAAAACACCCACAGTTTTCCCACAAAGACACTGTTTTCAAAAAAGGTAATTTTTTAAACCACTCTTGTTCATAGGTTTCCACCATTGCCACTGGTTCCTGATCACCCCTTAATAAAATTTTACAGAAAGGTGCCAGATTGACACCTCAGAAGATGGAAACTGTCCACCATGAAAGTATAACAGCTCATTAGCTCAGAGTCCTGACCATGGAAGGACCATCTCTAGTGAGTAGGGGGGGGAAAAAAAAAAAATTCTTCGAGTCCACTCTTTGGATTTCAGCCTGCTTGCTGGCCCTTCTCTTTGCTTAGTAGCCCAGGCTTTGGCACCACTTCCCTCCATACCCTTCAGAGGTAACTTCTGACCTTAAGGACTTGTCTACACTACAGGGGCTACAGCAGCCCTATAGCTATAACCCTGCAACAGAAGTGCTTTTTCCAGAACTGGAGTAACTCCACCTCCTTAAGCAATGGCAGCTAGGCCAAGGAAAGCTAGGTCTACACCTGGGGTTAGTTGGTTAGAGCCACAGGGTTCTGGGGTATAGATTTCTCTCCACATCCCTGAGCTATGCCAACTTAAAATGCAAGTTGTGACCAGGCCTAAGCTTCAGAAAAAAATCCCCCCCACCCCACATTATGCTCAGTTTAGTGAGCAAAGACTCATCCAACAAGCATAAGCAAGTAATGGACATTTGTCACCCAACTCAGCTTCATGGCTTTTTTGGTTCAGGTCTGCTTGAGGCCAAAGCAAGAGAACAGGTTATAAAACCAAAGCACGTTTACAGGGTCAGTAGCAGTTGCTGCTTCTTGGCCAACAAAGGCCTGTCCCATTCAGGCAAAAAAAGGAAGGGAGAAAACAAGTAAAATGAAGTGTGCCTCTGCTAGCTGTTAAACAGAACCCTTCTTCCAGATGAAGAATTCCTTTGGAGCAAATGTAGAGTAATATGCATATTTGGCATGAGACCTATGCCCATTCCAGCAAGGGCACCAACCTAGCAGTATCAGGACTTTACTGTGACAGTTCAAAGTGCTGAGGTGGCATTTTCAAGAGAGTGCCAACACCACACACACACACACACACACACAGAGAGCCAGGGAGAGTCAGTGCCGGTGCCTGAAATACTGGCTTAGGGGCTGCCACGGCATGGAACCCTTATAATCCATCAAGCCCTTTTATGCAACCTAGGCTGAGTGAGGTCTTGTGAGGCCATGGGGTCAGAGTCCGATGCCCTCTCAGCTCTGCACAGAGGCTGAGCTGTTCCTGCCAAGGAGTCTGGGGCTCTGTAGGGGTGAGGGAAGTGCACTTACTCTCCCCAATAGAGATAATTCCAGCAAAAAGTCTAGGGTGCATATGATGGAGGTGTTGTTGCTCAGGGAACACCACCACGTGGGAGGAGCTGGGATTATTGTTGGTGGGAGCGATTGCTAACATTGAAGGTGGGCTTATATTAGTCATTTTACCCTTCAGTCTGCATCTGACTGCAAAATACAGTGCTTAGTTGGGAACCCTTAACTAGTCTCTTCCCGTTTGAAACAGATGCCAGCATTATACCTACTTTAAATATTGCAATAAACTGTTGGCAAGTGGTAGTACCCCGGATGCTCAGTTGTGCCCAGCCCTACGAGGCGAAAAAGTTTCCCTCCGAGATCAAATTGCAGTGATCCAGGCTTTAATAGTCAAGATCCGGCCCTGCTCTCACTAAAACGTTCAGCTTAGCATAGTGTGCCCCACATGGACAGCAGCAAAGTCCCTAGGCAGCTGTGTGTTTGTGGCAATATGCTACCCCCCAATGAGCCCTGGTTTTAGACAGGCTCTAAACCAAAGCTTTAGTTCCCTACCTAGCAAGAGGACTTTTTGTGATCAGTCAAAGCAGGACGAGAGAGGCAGGGTCTCTGCAAAAAGCCAGGGAGTGCACTCCCAGTTTGACAAAATCAGGAGTTGCCTAAGCCCTGCCACAGCCAAGCAGAGCCACATCACATCACTGCAAGAAAATTGCTCTTCTATATCTGCCTGGAATGCCAGGCCTGGTGAAATCCACCATGCCACTCTCCTCTTCCAAAGGATTTCTCAATGGTAAATCTGTACAACACTCCCCAATTGAGATCTTCCCTTTTTACGACTACTTTGCCTGTAGTTCTACTGCCTATACCAGCCCCTCTTTGCCTTCTGACCTTCTCCTTTCTTCCAAAAATGCTTTGAGGCGCGACTCTACTGTATCCAGTATGAGTGTATAGGTCATAGCCCAAGGCATAGGCCAGTGACTCAAGTGAAGGAGGCCAGACACTAGTTCAGACTGGACCATGTGGAACAACCGATCGGATGTCCTTTTTCTTCCAGCTTTCTGGCAATTCCAAATTGGGATTTTCCCCTCCTCCCCATAATTTTCCTAACTTGGGCCCACATCATGCCCCCTTCTACAAATTAGAAACACTATTTGGAGTATAATGGGTCCAATTCCTCTCTGGGACAATTCCACAGACTTCAATGGAGATTAATCTGGACATTGGTTTGATGCCCGGTCTAGTCTTTGAAGGCCAGTAATTCATGAAGCAGTCACCACACTTTCACTGGTCCAATGCTTACAGAAAATAAGACAGTGAATTGTAACCAGTAGGCTATTTGGAGTCCATAAAGAGGAATGCAACATATAGCTCTGTTGTAGACCTCAAAGGTCCACCGAAGAGGTTTTTGGTTTCACCAGTACAAGTCATGGGGAACCTCCCATTAAGTTATTTCAGATTTCCAGAAGTAGCCATCCAGCTAGTGTGTT